TTTTTGGGTATTATAATTGCTTTTAGGACATTTATGATTATCAAGGATTATATTAGGGATTACTAGGGATTCTCTAGAACATTGAGGATTATGTCGGAGATCATTTAAAGGATTTTCTGTGGATAGATATTTTAAAAAAGGAAGTCTGTAAAAACTGGCTTTGAAGTGAAAATATGCTGATTATTTTTAAATATTGACGTCAAAATATAAAAAGGTCTTCCATCATTTTGAAGGATGAACACGGACTGATCTGACGTCACCTTTAAAAATACGTTTATTTAATTATTCTATTATTTTATAGCGTGGCTCTATTCTCTCTTTTCCTCTCCTCCCTTTTCTTTAATCTCCTTTACTTCCATTTTCTTTTCTTTCCTCTCCTCTCCTTTCCTCTCCTCTCCTTTTTCCTCCTCTCTTTTCCTCTCCTCTCCTTTTTCCTCCTCTCTTTTCCTCTCCTCTCCTTTCCTTTCCTATCCACCCTATTCTTTAATCTCCTTTACTTCCATCTCCTTTCCTTTCCTCTCCTCTCCTATCCTCTCCTTTTTCCTCCTCTCCTCTCTTTTCTTCTTCTCTCCTCTCCTCTCCTCTCCTCTCTTTTCCTTTCCTTTCCTCTCCTTTCTTCTTCTCTCATTTCCTTACCATCCTCTCCTCTCCTTTCTTCTTCTCTCCTCTCTTTTCCTTTCCTCTCCTCTCCTTTCTTTACCATATTCTCCTTTCCTTTCCTCTCCTTTCTTCTTCTCTCATTTCCTTACCATCCTCTCCTCTCCTTTCTTCTTCTCTCCTCTCTTTTCCTTTCCTCTCCTTTCTTTACCATATTCTCCTTTCCTTTCCTCCCCTCTCCTCTCTTCTTCTCTCCTCTCTTTTCTTTTCCTTTCCTCTCTTTACCATATTCTCCTCTCCTTTCCTCTCCTTCATTCTTCTCTCATTTCCTTTCTTTACCATCCTCTCCTCCCCTCTCCTTTCTTTAATCATCTTCTCCTCTCTTTCCTCTCCTTTCTTCTTCTCTCATTTCCTTTCTTTACCATCCTCTCCTCTCGTTCTGTCTTCTGATCTTTTCTCTGTCAGAACAACTTTGTCTGAATTGCTTGCGTTGCTCACTCCCTCTGCAGTGCGTCAGCAGAGTGAGTGACCCCAATTATTAAAACTGTCAAAAGAAGTCGTCTGTTTGAGGCGAACACTTGCTCAAATACCTTTCTGTGTTTTTGGTGCTGAAGGCTAAATGGTCTCAGTGTTTTTACTGATTTGCGATGTCAGCATCTGTTTCGTATGTGGACATGAAAGGTGACCGGTGTATCTGTCCATTTTTATTCTTCATGCCCTCATAAACACTGATCCAAAAGCTTGTTTTGCATAAAGAATAGAAACAAATAAAATGTGAATTTGATGATATTAAATATGAGATCTCGTAAGAAATAATGACAGGTTTATAACAGATTAAAAGGAAGTCAAAAGCAACCACTGACTGCGGGTATTTAAAATCTTCTCTTAGTTATTGTATGCCAGGCAAAAGAGGATTCAGTAAAAACAGTAAAATGACACATAGAGTCTAAGATAAGATAAGATCCGTCCCCTCACCTGTGTTGCCTCGGTGACGGAGGCCAGCTGCAGGTACTCTGAGTTTCCCCATCCGTACAGATCTCCATCTTTAGACACAGCCAGACTGCAGTCTCCATACGAGTTGATCTGCTGCACCTCCACCCCCGCCAGATCCCCCCCCACCTCCATCGGGCTGCAGCTCACCTGGTGGTGGCCCAGACCTGGAGGAAGAGGAGGAAGAGGAAGAGGAAACAAACATTTTTAAAAGACACATTTTCAATTTTCAATGTCATCGTCAACAAAATAAAAGCTCTAAATTATATTTCATGTCTTAGAAATGCTTAGAAAGAGAGCTCCACTTATTTGTTATTATTATTATATATTTAAATGTATTTCCCTTATATTTGATGTTTCTCATTGTGATGAGGCCACACCTCAGGCCATTAAGATTATAATGTATTATTCTTATTCATTTTATATACATAGTCATCTTGCTACATGATGAAGGTGAGATTATTGTTACCCATGGAGGGATGTATGTTATATGTGCAGTAACTATTCTTCACACATTTGAGTACGTATGCGGGTATATGTTAGTTAGTAGGTAGGTAGGTAGGTAGGTAAGTAGGGAGGGAGGGTAGATAGGGAGGTAGGTAGGTAGGTAGGTAGGGAGGTAGAGAGGTAGGGAGGTAGGTAGGTAGGTAGGTAGGTAGGTAGGTAGGTAGGTAGGTAGGTAGGTAGGTAGGTAGGTAGGTAGGTAGGTAGGTAGGTAGGTAGCTAGGTAGGTATGTTATGTCTGAATGTTTACAAAAAGGACCAAAAAAAAGAACGAAAGAGAGCTCCACAAGTGTCTAGAGTGGATTAAATGAAATGTTAAAACACTGCTGCCTTTATTTTGCATTAACAGCGGTTGAAACTATAGATATAAAGCTGGGAATTCATGTGTTTGCATTCACTGTATTGTTTTATAGTTTTAAAGTTCACTGACCAGTCTGTCCGTCTGCTCCCCATCCGCATGCAAACACTGTCCCCGCCTCAGTGAGGAACAGACTGTGATCCTGGCCACACGCCACCTGGGAATAAGAAAGAAAACCCCATTTAAATGGTGTTGACAGACACATCTACATACCTTTAAAAAAAGGAAAACTACACAGATCTGGGATTCATTGCTTTCAGTACATCTTTGAATACCAATAAAAACTCCTTGAGCAAAAGGACAATTAACAAGCTTGTTAAAAATCTAATGTTGGGATGAATATGAAACAAAGAAGAATGAAATGTATTGTGAGTCATTTGTGTAGATGTTGTTGTGTATCAAGATAGTAGAGATGCAAAGATGAAGCCATTTGTTGTCAACTTTGAAATGAAACCCAAATTGTTTTGTTAATTGGTTTTAACACATGGCTTAGTTGAATACTCGATTCTGATTGGTCAATTCAGAACACGTGACACGTTGTTAATACAGTAGTATAGACCGCTGTCAAGGACGTATTGACCGTTGTTAAGGACGCTCACACCTGCAGAAAGAAGTCCAGTCGATTTAACTTTATACAGTTTGGCCGAACTGGGACAAGAAAGCTGCGGA